TGCATACATGCCCAGAGTAAGTTTCATGACACTGGGTATGAGACTTGAACTTTGGCTGGTCATATAGGAGTCCAGTAATGTAACTGCTACACCATCTGCTGGCCCCTAAATACTGTGTCTTTAAAAAGCACAATTGAGGACAAGCAGATGACTTAAAGGTTACATCACTGGACTCCCATGTACTCAACTACCGTTGGAGTCCTGAACCCATTGGCTTAAAACTCATGCTGGGTGCATGTGCATGCATGCCCCAAATCCTCACATGAGAATGGAGGAGAAGGGATTGTGGTGTGTTCATTCCCCCTAGGGAGGGTGATTTCTCACCTTCTACTCTATGTCTCTTTCTCCATCTCTGTGGCAAGCACACATGCCCTATAGCAAAAAAAAAACAAAAAACAAAAAAACAAAAAAAAACCCTCCCTTTTAATAAAACAAAACAAACAAACAATTGGAACAAATTACCTAGATAAAGTAGCTAAATCATAGGTTTATACTCAAGGAACACTGGTACACTTAGGATATACATTTTAATAGATAGGGGTTTGCTTCTTAATATTTTCTTGGAACTTTTAATTACAAATTATAAGCTATTTATACAACCATTAATTTACAATAACTTGGATTTCCTCAAAGAGTCACTCTTCTCAGAAGAAAACTAGACTTATAAGTATAATAAGCCTTGCATTTGGTCTCTGATAGAATTAAGAATAAAACAGGTGCCCCTTTTTAAATTTATTTATCATCATAATCTTATTTATATTACATTGAATTGCATATAACTTTGCAATGTATTACATTTCTTTTTCCAGAAGGAATACCATGCATGTCAGTCAATACAGAGACATTAAAATCCCCACTTCATCATTCAATATCTTTTCATTGTTTTTCCCGATCATTATTATTATTATTCCAATTATTTTTTCTAAACAGTCAATCACTATTTCTCATTTTGCTTACTTTACCCAACATGAAATACTTCTCAGACCAATCCAGTTGAGAATACTATACACATCATCATCAACAGGTAATAAATCATATCCATGTCCTACTAATGTCATGCCTCTCTATTTGTTCTCTTGCTGTCTTTCTCTATACTCTTCTCTTCTCCTGCCCCATTCCATACTGTCTTATCCTCTTTAAGTATTTTCACTGCTTTTATGTCCTCCAATATTTTGCTCTCTACCATAGAGTGTGGATAGTTGGTATATATGAAGTGGATACCTACAATATCTTTCTTTATAGCCTGGTTTTCTTCACTCAGCAATAGATCCTCCATATCTGACCACTTTCTTTCAAATGCCAGGGATTTATTGTTTTTTATGGCTGAGTAGTATTCCATAGAGTATATACGCCACACTTTTTCAATCCATTCATCAGTTTGTGGACATTAGGTCGGTTCCATGTCTTGGCAATCGTGAATAATGCTGCAATAATCATTGATGTGCAAGCACTTTTCTGACTTAACATTCTCCTGTCCATTGGGTAGATACGCAGACGTGGGATTGCTGGATCAAATGGTAGTTCTATTTGTAGATCTTTGAGGAACCTCCATATTGTTCTCCACAGTGGCGAAAACAGTTTACATTCCCACCAACAGTGTAGGAGAGTTCCCTTTTCACCACATTCCCACCAACATTTACTACTTTTTATATTTTTAATCGTTGCTATTTTGACAGGGTTAGGCGGTATCTCATTGTGGTTTTTATCTGCATCTCCCTTATGATGAGGGATGTTGAGCATTTCCTCATATGCTTTTTGACTGTTTGTATGTCTTCCTTAGAGAAATTTTTGTTCAGTTCACTTTTCCATCTTTTGATTGGGTTAATCATTTGTTTTTTTTTTTTTTTCACATAAGGCACTTGAGTTCCCTGTGTATTCTTGTTATCAGTCCCTTGTCTGAGGCATAGTTAACAAAAATATTTTCCCATTCTGAGGGTTGTTGATTCACACTTGTTACTGTGTCCTTTGTTGTGCAGAAACGTCTTAGTCTGATATAGTCTCACTTGTCTATTTTAGGGATTATTACTTGTGCTTTGGGATTCTTATCTAAGAAGTCTTTGCCAACTTCAATGTCTCCCAGAGTTTCCCCAGCATTTTCCACCAGTAGTTTTATTGTTTGAGGTCTTAGGTTCAGATCTTTGATCCATTTTGAATTGATTTTTGTTAATGGTAAAAGATGGGGGTCCAGTTTCATCTTTCTGTAGGTGGATACCCAGTTATACCCAGTTTTTCTAGCACTATTTATTAAAGAGGTTTTCCTTGTCACAGTGGATTTACTGATATCCTTTGTCAAAAATCAGTTCGCTGTAAGCTTTGGGGATTATTTCTGGGGCCTCTATTCTATTCCATTGGTCCACATGTCTGTTTTTGTGCCAATACCATGCTGTTTTGATGATCACAGTTTTATAGTATATCTTGGGATCAGGGAGTGATTGCCTCCCACTCCATTCTTCTTGCACAGGATTGCTTTTGCAATACGAGGTCTTTTATGATTCCAGACAAATTCTATGATTGTCTTTTCTAGATCTGTTTCTGTGAAGAATATTTCTGGTATTTTGATTGGAATTGCATTAAACATGTAGATTAATTGGGGTAGAATTGCTATTTTGATTATGTTAATTCCTCCAATCTAGGAACTTCCGGTGTCCTTCCACTTTTTTATGTCACTGTCAATATCTTTTTTTTAAGATTTTCATAGTTTTCTTTATAAAGGTCTTTGACTTTCTTAATTAGGTTTATCCCTAGGTATCTTATGCATCGTGTGGGTATGGTGAAAGGAATTCCTTTCTTTAACTCTACTTCCTTCAACTTGTTGTTCATATATAGAAATGCTATAGATCTGTGGATGTTGATTTTGTATCCTGTCACTTCACTGTATTCACTTATTACTTCAAGGAGTTTTTATTTATTTTTTCTTTTTGGAGAGGTTTTTGCTATAGGGTGTGTGCGCTCACCAGAAAGACAGAGACAGACAGAGAGACAGAAAGCGAGAAATCACCCCACAGCGGGGATGGCCACACCACAATCCCTTCTCCTCCATTCTCCTCTTGGGATCTTGGGCATGCATGCCCACACGCCCTGCGTGAGTTTAAGCCACCGGGTCTGGGACTCGAACCATGGTTGACTACATGGGAGTCCAGTGACATAGCCATTACGCTAACTGCTAGTCCCTTCAAGGAGTTTTTTCATGGAGATCTTTGGGTCTTCTAAGTATGCCATCATGTCATCTACAAATAAAGATATTTTCAACTCTTCTTTGCCTATTTGAATGCCTTTTATATTGTTTTCTTCTCTGATTGCATAAGCTAATACTTCCAGTACTATATTAAAGAGCAATGGAGAAAGTGGGCAGCCTTGCCTAGTACCCATTTTTAGCAGAAAAGCTTTTAGCTTTTCCCCATTCAGTATAATGTTAACGTAGGTTTTTCATAGATGGCTTTTATTGTGTTGAGAAATGACCCTTCTATACCAATCTTACTGAGGGTCTTAATTATAAAAGGATGTTGTATTTTATCAAACGCTTTCTCTGCATTAACTGAAATGATCATATGGTTATCTTTCTTTCTGTTAAGATGGTGTATTACATTTATGGTCTTGTGTATGTTGAAACACACTTGCATCCCTTGGATAATGCCTACCTGGTCATGATGAATAATCTTTGTTATATGTTGTTGGATACAATTTGCAAATATCTTGCTGAGAATTTTTGCATCTATATTCATCAATGCTATTGGTCTGTAGTTTTCCTTTTTTTGTCATGTCCTTATCTGTTTTGGGAATGAGGATTATGGAGGCTTCATAAAATGAATTTGGAAATCTTCTTTTGAATCTTTAGAAATAATGTGAGTAGGATAGGGATTAACTCTTCCTTAAAAGTCTTACAGAATTCAGAAGCAAAGCCGTCTGGACCTAGACTTCTCTTTGTCGGGAGGTCATTTATTACTGATTCTATCTCCTGACTTGTTATGGGTCTATTCAGGTTCTCTATGTCCTCCTAAATTCAATCTTGGTAGATTATATGCACCCAGGAATTTGTCTATCTCCTCCAAGTTATCTTGTTTGTTGACATATAGTCGCTCATAGTATCCTCTAATGATATTTTGTATTTCTACTATGTCCGTTGTAATACTGCCTGTTTCATCACGTATTTGATGAAATGGAAAGATTTGAAGACATAGAAGTAGACAGGACAACTATATATACCAGAGACTGCATGGGGAGTTGTGGGTGGGGGATTAGGAGGGGCTTGAGGAAAAAGCAATTAACAGACACAAGAATGCAGGTAGACAAGGGCAAATGGGTTGCAGAATGGCACACTGCAAATGCAATTGCCAATCCTAAATATGTATCAGAGAAGAAAGAAAGAAGAATGAAGGAGGGAAGGAAGGAGGGAAGAAAGGAAGGAAGGGGAAAAAGTTAATGGGGTGTTCATGTTCAAAATGATGAGTATGAATATGGTAATATCCTTAATTAGATTATTGAACACTGCATGCATGCTTTGAAAATCCATATTGTGCCCCATAAAGATGTACAATAACTAAATGTAATTAAGAAATTATAGGATAAGATAAAATCAAAATAAAATACAAAATTGGACATCATTTCATAAAACACATTCTGAATTACATTAATAATCAAGGTTCCACTTTGACTTTCAAAGCAAAATGTACTAAAAATAGAGTTAGTGTTAGGTATTCTGACTATAATTTTAAAAATTAAACATATCAATTTCCTTTGTTTATCAACTAGTAAATCCAAGTTCAAATTTATCATGGAAAAAAAATCTTTGCTCTAAGGAATACCCCAAATAGTGTTTTGACCATGGATTTGATTCACATTTCAAAATTAAAGATTTTAGGTATATAGATGTTATTACTTACTTAAAAATAATTTAAACTAAACTGTTAAATATATAAATTTAAAACATATCGAAACATAAAGTATGTAGTAGACAAGAAATTTAAAAGTCACAAAGCATGAACTTGAAACATTTGCTTTTATTTTCTTTGTTTTGAAAATATAAATGACTGGGTATATTTTCCCAGTTATTATTTTAACAAAACTCTTAATAGATGGAGTTGGCTTATACAGAACAATTGGTTTTGAGACACTCTGACAGATGTTATGGAGGATAAGACACTGCTGGAAATGTGAGAAGATCTCTTTTTTTTTTTTTTTTCAGATTTAAAGATGACCACTGGGTTCTAAGTTTAGAAAGGCATCTATACAAGTATCTCCAGCAGCACACACATAAATAGCATCAACATTTTTCAGATCAACTCTCTTCTTACAACTCATGTTAGTATAACAGCTACAATAGAAATTTTGAGAAAATTCCTCGAGGTCCTCAAGTGAAGGTTTTCCAATTACTGTATACTTTCTATTTTGCCCAATCTGAATAGCAAAATTCATTGGGTTCAGGTGAAGATAATAATTTGAATTCCAGTGTTTTCTTATGCACACTCCTAGGTCCTCGCAAAGCACTTGGCTACACATTTTGGCTGCTAGAGTGACGTTGATTATGTAAGGATTCAGTGTATTCGTCACATAATTGTCTAAATCCAGGCAAGATTTCTGTAAAATTACAAGAGGGTCAGAATGTCAAAGAATAAGTTAGTTCACATGTGAATAAATTCACTGCAATAAGCAATTTTTACAAACAGCAACAATAGCAAAACTTCCACAGGAAGAGGTTGGATATATTGGATTGCCGGAAAAGTCATGATACATTTTTGCGTAGAAAAACAGAAAAATATGTCATGACTTTTTCAACAACTCAATATTTTATTCTTTTTACCTAACAAAGCAGGATTACTACAAACTGTTTTTTGACATATCTAAGTTTCATATGCCATATCATGCCATTGAATTGTGGGTTGAGGCTTAACATGCTCCAGCTTTGATCTTCAATAACTCAAGAACTAACGAGAGGAAAGGAATGATACCGCTGTTAGAGTATGGATGCTAAGGTGCATCTGCCGTGATTGGAGTACTCATTTCAGTAATGGCTGTGTATGAACTTGAGGATCCCTTAAACTTTCTAAGTCTTTGTTTCCTACTGAGTAACCTTGGACAAGTTCATTAAACCAGATGTGCTTCAGTTCTATCATCTGTAAAATAAAGATAATTACGGTGCCTACCACATAAGACTATTGTGAAGATGAAAAGATATAATGTACATAAAAGTGTTTATTAACACACAACCTAGAATAGCTTCAGTTAATAATCAAAAATCCATAAATAGATGATGTCCTAAGCATCAAATTGTCATCTAAGTTCAAACAACATTGAAAGGAGGGATTTCAAAATTACTGGCTGAAACAACTAAACAGGTTCAACTGAGTTTACTTTATGCTACATGTTAGATGTAGTCCATTTAAGGTAAATAATGGCCGCTCTTGAAAAAATTTAACTGAGAATCTTGTGATGAGTAATTGCAATGATTCATCCTGAGACGGATGTGTTCTAAAACCTGGGCACAGTTCTTTTAAAAGTTTGAATGTAGTCATTTTCTTTCATGACCAACTATTACATTGAGTGAGCTGGCTTTCCTAGAACTGTGGCAGACCAAAGCACAAGGTGGTGGTAGGTAGACAAGCAAGTTGGGGAATCTTGGCTGCTTCCACTTGAATCTATTTCTTGTTACCTTCCTTGAGGTGATGCCATCCATTGTTGGCAGAGTGATGGCCAACATTATTGTTGTTATTATTATCTGTCCATTAATAGACAAAAAGCTGTCTACACCCTAATCCCCAGGTACCTGTGACTATATTAGCTTACTTGGCCAAACAAGCTTGGTAGATGTGATGAAAGATATGGACCTTGATGGGAGAAAATTATCCTGAATTATCTGGATGGGTGAAATCAAATTACAGGGGGTTTTGAAAGGGTGAAGTCATTTCTAGCTGGATTAGAAAAATGAGATGGGGGGAACCAGCAGTTAGTGTAATGGCTATGTCGCTGGACTCCCACGTAGTCGACCGCGGTTTGCATCCCGGACCCAGTGGCTTAAAACTCACGCCGGGCGCGTGTGTGTGCGTGCCCAAGATCCCAAGAGGAGAATGGAGGAGAAGGGATTGCGGCGTGACCATCCCCCCTGGGGGGGTGACTTCTTGCTTTCTGTCTCTATGTCTCTCTCTGTCTGTCTGGTGAGCGCACGCGCCCTATAGCAAAAAACCTCTCCAAAAATAAAAAAGAAAAATGAGATGGGAGAAGGGGGAGAAATGCAGAGTAAGGGAGAGTTCTCATTTATTTTATTTTATTGTAGTTTTTTAGGGGGAAGGTGGGCACTGGACTTCCATGCAGGTGACTAAGATTCGAGTCCCAGACATGGTTGCTTGCTTTCTCACTTTCCCTCTCTCTCACTCTGTCTTTCTCTGGTCAAATTAAAAAATAATAACAATAAATAAAGTTGAATAATTTTTTATTTAAAAATAAGTCATATGAAAGATTATAAATGGTTTAATTAGTAATGTACTTGGGAAAATTATAATTTTAAAGTAATTTTCTTACATAGAATATTTTACTAACCATTCTATACCTTTCTTTTTTTTTTTTTTTTTTTTTTTTTTTTTTTTTTTGA